TGTGCAGAGAATGAGGCACTGTGTGTGGGTCTTGCAAAACCAAAAATATTTGAAGACGTCAGCATGCAAAACCATTTTACCAAGTTAGCTATTTTCTAACTGCTGAGAATTGGTCCTATTTCCCCAGCATTTGAACCAAGTAACTAAATCCCTTTAGTCCTTCAAAAGTTATTAGTGAGCAACAGGGGAAAAGAATTTCTGGGAAAAAAGAAATGAAAGAGGAAAGAAATAAGATAGAAAGGGCAAGAAAGAAGATAGCAGAGCAGCAAGGTGGGGCACTTAAGCAGGTTTCAGGTTTGGGCAATTAAGTTTTTAATGAAAAACTGAATTTTTAGATTCTTATCTGGGAAAGGGAGTAACGTAAAGGTCAGTTTAACAGTACCATCATTGCAACTATGCAGAAGGAAACTCGGAATTAGAGCAGGGAGAAGAGGAGCATGAGCAGGACCCCAGCACCGCTTGCAGGATTTATAGAGATTTAATAAAACAATTCTGGAGTCTTGACTCATAGCCCTGGCTGTAGCAAGAGAAAACAACCATATATTAGAAAAAGAAACCAGTCAATAGCATCGCCAATACTCTAATGTCCTACTTATTGATGTCTCATTCTCATCTCAGCCATCAGCTACTGGACCTTTTAAAAAGTTTTCAGGATTATATTCAGTTCCTACATTAATTTATGAATAAATAAAGCTCTGACATTGCCAGCTGCAATTCTGATTCAAAGAGGTACTAATATTTCCCTGTGCATTACTACTTTTTTCTGATGCCTGATGACAATACCCGTCACAGCAATTCACACTATTTTAAGTGGGAAATATGGTATAAAGTTTTTGGATGGTCAGCAAGAAAATTGTCTTTTGACACTCCTACCCATACAGATACATACTGTTTTACTGCTCCTGTGAATTATCAGTGCACACAACATACCCCAGGGATTTTGGGGAGTCAGAGGCGGTTTCTATAACATTGGGAAAATAACAACACAGGAGCTTCCAGAGGCGGAGATATAAATGGGAAATAGTACAAATTTTCTTGAAAGGAAGATGTGTTGTTATGTCCCATGAGACAGGTACTATCATACTTGTTTTCAAATCGCTCTGAAGGTAAGAAAAAATTTATATATAAATCTGTTACTGCAGCTCAAATATCACTATAATTGTCAATTGCAAAGCACCTCCTGCACAACCCAAAGACCACAATTTCTTCTTCACCCTATACACCACAAACACATTTAAAAAAAGAAAAGAAAAGAAAAAAAAATCCGTATTTTATCCTTTACAAATGAGAAGGATGAAGGGAGGACACGCATTGGATGGGGCTCTCTGCATCAAGCAGGAGCTTCCTCTGGCAGCCCCATTCGTGAGCCGACCTGCCATGACTCCTAGAGGCAGAAAGGTTTCCCAAATTCCGACACCTTTTCCATATGCCAGGCCCTAAAATCGTTCACATCAGTCGCCGAGACGTTCTCATCTCCTCAAACTGGCTGTCACCCTGATATGGTTTTGCTCGTGGTCAAATGAATATGTTTCACTTTGGCTTAACTACATCACAAATACACATCCGTGTGGATTTATAAATCAACACGACTGAAGATGATAATCTCTAAGTGAAAAACAAATAATTTCATTATTTTCAAAGGCAGCTCACGCGGCCAAACAAGCAAAATAAGCTGCTTTCAAAATAAAACTGTGTTTCCAAAACCCTGTTTTGCTCCACCAGCACCCACCCCAGCCACACTGAAGTAGCTGCCTCTTCCTATGCTCCTTTCAAAGACAACAACTGAAAAATCTAGTAAAAAAGCCTTAAAACAAGTTGCTGTTTTCATCTTACTATGTGGAAAACATCTTTGCTAAAGCTGTTTAGCAAAGCTTTGCTAAAGCTGTTTAGCTGTTGTGCAAATTTAAATCAAAGTGTGGCATCTATGTTTCCATTACTTTTTTCAGTACAATGCACTGCCAGCATTTCTATTTATACATAGATAAATAAAATAGATATACGTATGTTGTGGAGGCCAGGGCAAGCCCTATCTCAGTTTCAACCTGGGCTGCTCTCGCAGATTCTTCCTCTCTTGCCAGTACCTAGGAGACTTGAGGCTGCCGAGCGTTTAGGGATGCCCTCTTTTAAAAGCCAGTGCACTTGCCGGAAAATCCCAGCTATTGGACCTCAAGAGTTGGCCAGTTTGATCAAAGTGTTATGAACTGAGCTATGAATATTTCTTTCAAAATCCCTCTCCTGCTCACCAAGGTGGGCTCCGTCACTGCCTCTCCAAAGCATCAGCCCTCTGCCATGCCACTGCTCTTTTGCCCCATGGTCTGGAGCTCCTCCTGGATCCCAAAATAGGGTGAAACCCCGAAATGACAGCTCTATCTAAATGCAATATATGATGTAATACATAATGTAGCAGTAAGGAGGCAATGGCTCAATCTGTTCCTCTTTTGAGTTGGCCTATGTGAAAAAATTTCTGAAGGAGTAAGAGCCTTCTCTTACATTCTTAATGATTTGCTTTTCTCTCCTCTTTTCTTCCCCCATCATTCTCCGTAAGACTGTCTGTTGCAGACTAAACTATGTTTTCCACCCAATGAGATGGATGGATGGGCATTCCAAAAACATCACCTCTGAAAGAGGATGTGGTGTGGCCCAGACAGATGCTCTTGTGCAAGGATTCAGCTGTGTGACATCACCAAGGCAGCACACTGTAATTATTAGCTAGTTTTTGTACGTGAGCCACAAAGTTGCATTGAATTATTTTCCTTTGCTTAGTTGAAAGAATTGTTATCTCCCTATTGATGGAAATAATTACTGTAAACAGCTTTATAAAATGTTTTCTTTCCAATGAAGAAAACATCATCAAAAAATAACTGATTGTGAGTACACTCTAAATTATGTATTGCTATACTGTAAATTATACATCTGCTATCTGCAATTAGCCAGGAAGGTAAGAGAACAGCGTAACAGCTGGGAGCCTTGAGTATTACTTTAAGATGATGTGGCTGATCATTTCACAACTTGTTTTGTTCCTGCTGGTGTGCAATGGGATACTGTGAAATAACACATGCCATCTGGTGCGAGCAGGAAAAACAGAATAATGTATATCATCACCTGATGTCTATGTCAGTATACATATTTCTGTTAGAAACTAGAAGATATTTGTTATCTGTCCTCCTGCTGTGGAGCACTACACTGAACGGATGCTGCAACTATTATTTTATACTGTCAGGAAGAAATGTCTTTTAGTTGTTACTACGTCCTACACATATGAAATCACAACATGATTTAACAGCATGTAATTAAGTATTGCTAAGCAAGTCCATTAAAGTTTTGAAAAATTAGCAAAGATGAAAAAGAAAATACACTAAAAATTTGATTTTATCTTGAGCTCTCAGCCATAGCTGTATTTTACAGTAGCAGAAACATCCTAAAGGTTTCCCAAGATGCTGAACAGTGATGTCTTACACAGTCCTGAAAGATACTCATTTATTAGCAATTTATCGAGCTGCTTGATGCTTTACATTACAATATTGTCACACTATTCAATTTAAATCTAGCTACAGAACTACTGAGCTTATTAACAAACTGGAGGTATGGTACTTCATGTTTGCTGTCTCCCTAGCAAAAATACATATCAGTGTTATGCTTTCCTGGAGTGTTGAGAACGTATTCTCAATTATTAAGTTTCTGTTTAATTTCAGAAGATCAAAGTTGTTATGTATTGAATATTTAAATATATACAGACAAGTATTTATTGTAAATTAACTAATCTCAGTCTGAGCCAGTTAACCAAAATACTGTATTTGAAATGCTGAGAAATTCTCATCGTGGTGGTGCTGTGTGTCACCAGAACTGTTTAGAGATGCAAAGCAGGAAATCCTTCTTATTTCCCATATCGGGTCATCTTCAAGATGATTTTTTTTGGCACACTATTGCCTGCTCTCACTATTAGAGTGGATGCCACAATATATTTGGTCCTGTTTTAAAAACATACCAGCTCTAAGAGTCAAGTTTCTGTGAGGCTCTAAACAAATAAAGAAGAAAGTGTTTCTATCTTAAGTGTTTCTGGGGGGGAAATCGAAAATTATAGTTCATGTCCATCTTAGTATTAGAACAGTAACTGACATAAGGACATTTATCTAATAACCATATTATTTTATAATTAAGGTATAGATTTGCAGGGGCAAGACTAGAGTTTTGTGCTGGATACATCTCCCTGACTGCCAAGAAGTGACATGAAATTTGGCCTTCAAATGTTCTGCCGCCTTCTTTTTGGAAGAAGGCTGATTTAGGAGGGATTGAACATGTTATCACAGCATCAAAGAGAAGCCCAATAGCTCTTATGCACAGGTAAGGACCCAGGATGGGATGAGTGTTTGTCCATTAAGATGAATGGGTGCCCCAAATTCCTGCCTAAAGCACATGTTTTACTATGCCTATTCTTATTCGTCCCTATGGAAATAAAGCATATTTTTATAATAATCACCTGTTTAATATGGATTTACCTTTTCTCTTCTTTTAGTTCATCCCCAAAGGAAAATGTTCATATAAAACAGGTCACTCACATACAATTCCCACCTCCACCAAAATTATATATACACAATAAGACAATTTAAAAAACACCACCACTGTCCTGCATTCAGCCATCTACCCCATCAAGATGACCACGATTATGCTCTTACCGTACATGAAAAATACTCCAGAGTTGCAAAATGTCAAATATTTTGACCTTCAAATGCATGGTCAGGGAAGACAGTGCAAAGATAAACTATTTTCTAAGGTCTAGAAACACGAGAAGATCTACATTTGGCCACTGAACTGCAGAACAAACCTTATTTCCCCATGAAGGTGCAGCCTCCTTGCAACACACAACACCAAGTGACAATGCCCAACCCCAAAAGCATGAACGCACTCCTAACCTCTTTCCAAACCACAAAAGCCCTCTGAAGGCCACAAAAGTCCTTGAAAAATTATCTTAACGTAAGAGCTACATCATAAGGAGCACTTACCCTTGAAGGGCTTTTTCTCCAAACCAATCTCCCTTCCCTAGAGTACGGAGAAAGACTGGATCTTCACTGGGAGAATCTTCACGAGTAACATTCACCTGTTGAAAAGCCAAAACCCCCCAACATTTAGAAAATTTTTAACTAACAAATAAAACTTGTTTGTTCAGAGAGAGATTCATCATCTCCCAGATCTCTCAGGAAAAGCTCCAGTCCATATCTCCTCTGGGAACTGTGTAATTCTCCAAAGTCTTGCACTCTTCCCTCAGCATCACCAACCAACCATGCAAGAAAGTGAGAAGCTATTTTCCACTAAGGTACCTACTGCTCTTGCAAAAATGCAATACTTGGGGTTTTTTGAAGGTTTTAACACTAAACATGGAGCTGGCTGCACAAGCACAGTCATTGCCCGTATGGAGTTGGCAGCAGAAATAGGTTCCAAATATTTTCTGTGTATCAGACAGACACATGGCATAGGCTTCTGTTAGCTTTGTTCCGCATGATTTCTTGCATTGATAAGTTCACTTAAGGGAAAGGAATAATAAAAATAATCTACATTTACACATAACTGAAATGAAACAGCTTGGAGCATTACAGGATGAAAGATGCCTCCTCTCCTTTTTACTTTCTCTCAAGTTCAGGGAGGGGATAACTCTAGATGGAGCAAAAATCAAGTATTTTCATTGAGATTTAAAAGAAAATAACATCTTATTTTTTAACTTTTTATTTTTGCAGTGAAAGAGAAAAGCAATTACTGCTGATAGAAAGCAGACGTTCTACTCACTGTAAAACCAGGGGTAGTATAACCTAGTGTAAGCCTAAGTTGAAGAAGCTGGCACTGGAACAAGAGCAAGATGACTTCACATCTGTGAGTGATGATTTCCTATTGCCAGGGGGTCCTTTTTATATTCTGAAATGATTTCAGAAGACAAATAGTAATTGATCATCTGAACACCCTTGGGTCTGGTTTCCCGTGCCAGTATGGGATATAAATCCCAGCTGCCATGTAATGACAAAGCCCCTGACATCCCACTGGGTGCTGAGGATACCAAGGATGCAAAGGGCTCCATGAAAGATAAATGTTCTTGATGTAATGGCCCTCTATGAGAAATATTTCTTCCTTTTCAGCTGTTATCAGAGGTAAATCATACCTCTTATGGTATGAGAAGGCATGTGAAATACAACCCCCCGCTATCAGTGCATGGTGGGGATCACCTCTCCCAACGTTAACCATCTATAAATCTAGTTGTCCAGTCTCTGTCTATGGTCAGTGGAGAGGGACAGCCATTTCCAAAGCCTGAGTTGTCCAAAATTTAATTGGGATGAGCAACTCTCTGGAGGTACCTCGCATACACGGGAAAATCTCTCATCTGCTTCTCCTTTTCAGGCTGTTTTGCTTTAATCAGAACTTTGCATATGCAAATTCACAAAGCCAAAATCTGGGACGTCAGAAACATCCTTTGGCTTTAGAGACATTCCAGTTTAATTTCACTATTAAATTTACAATTGTGGCCCGCACCTTCTCCCATCCCTTTTATGGATGGTAAAACCAGTGGGTTTGAGTCATTAATGAGCACTCAGTCTACACCACACTACATTTAACATCTGCAGTGACTCATCGAAGATCAGATGAGGGTAGGGAACACGTAATGGATGAGCCAGGAAGATTTGTAGCTGATCAAAAAAAACTTGGACAAACAAAGGGAACTTCAATGCATATTTAAGCTCTTTCTCCGTGACTTCCACTGATCCTAAGCAATGAGTGTTAAGGGATTACAGGAGTGCGACAACCTACGTGGTTCAAAGTGATGAGCCATTTGAATAGTCATGGCACCAATGAAGAACCCACACAATCTGGCATTAAATTGGTGCCACACCATAGCTTTTAAAGGGAAAATAGTGTATAATGGCACAGCATGGCACACACTGTCTGTGGGTAAAGGCAAGGTACACAGCAGGCACAGAGCAGCAGCATTTAGCAAGCAGAAGGGACTGAGCTGTTTTCATCTGACATATTATTCAACAGATTTCTGCATGCAGGGTGTTTTGAACACATTTGATTTCTATTCACTTGGACTCGAGAAAACATGCTATAATAAATAAACTAAACAAGCTCAGGAGTGGGATCAAATGTGGTGGATGGAGTTGAGTGAGAAAAAGGTAAAAATGTTTTTGCTCCTAAAAACAACTTCCATGGAGCATGGGCTGAAAGAAAATGGAGCAGAAGTCTTTCTAAGTATTTCTGAGAGAAGTGCTGGGCTCAGAAATGTAAAAAAAATCTTCTCTGTCACTTGACTGTCACTACAGACACTCTGACATAAAAGGCAAGGCAGAGTTTTTATTAAAAGTAGCTTTCACAATAATACTCATGTGATGCTGCTGAATGAAGAAAGTACATGTGAGGTCCCAGGTACGTGAGCTGCAGTCAGCATTTTATTATGGCTTATTAAGCTGCCTGGGTCAAGGTTTTAGCATGGGACATGGGACATTATGTGCCCCTGCTTCAGAAAGTCCCAGGCAGCATACATTGATTTGTTAATTCTGTATTTCATTGCTATTTATTCCATGTTTCACTAGTAAGGCTCTATTCCTCCTGTCCTGGGCTGTATCCTTAGCATGGGTTAGTTCTTATATCCACTGTGTAGCTCTTATGTCCCAATACAGGCATTAAATTAAACACTTTCCAACTCGGTCCATCTTCTATCACTCACTGACATTTCTTTTGCAAATCAGGAAGCTTGGAAGAGAAAACTGGGCAGAATTTAACTGTCCCTGTGGGAATTTCTGTCAAGCCATCAGGATCCAGCTGAGGGTCTGGGAATTTCTCAAGTCCATGTGCGTTGTTTTATTTTAGCTCCCTTTTTCTGGCTGTCAGCTGTCACAGTAAGATAAAGTAGCAAAGGCCAGGGATAAAGCCAAGGAGCATCTCAAGCAGGACTACAGGGCTCTGGAGCAATGGCCAAGGGCATAGTTGGTTTTCTCCTCCATCCTGCAGGTGAGGTGTAAGGGCTTGAGGAGGTGAAGGTCAACAGTTGGTGTCAACACCAGGGATTTGGTTTTTACAACCAAGGGCCTCTCTTTGGAGATTGAGGACTGCTAGGAAGGGATGAAATCCACCTGACCAAGTGGGGCAAAAGCATCATTGCCAACGGGCTGGCCAACATGGCAAGTAGGGCTTCAAATATTCAACGAGGGACGGAAGCACACCCTACCATTATTTTTGCCCATTAAAAAGGCAGGGGGGGGGGGGAAGATTTGAAGTGTGTATCATGGTTGTCCTTATTCTGGGAGAAGCAGAAATATTACTTCTGAGTGGAGGGAAGTGAAAGGGCATGAGGGAACACCATCAAACTTGGCTTTCTGCAGTCCATTATTATCTTCATTTCAGAAATTTCTCCATGACTATCTCATTCATCTGAAAAAGACCATTTGTTTTCCAATGGAGATTGGCTCCCAGAGACAGAGAGTGGAAGATGATGGTGAAAATCTAGTTTTAGTACCCGAGAGCTGACAGCTGCCTTGGGAAACAACTCAACGGCATGTATAACACCCACACTCTTCCTTTACAGATGCCATCGGGTTTTTGCTACCCTTAATTACACAAGGCCAACGTTAATATGTGCCTTGGTGCAAACATCAGATCCATGAACCAGGAGGCTGGGGCTGGCCTACTTTCAAACATATTTATTCATTTGTGTTTACTTTCAATGTATCACACCTCATCTGCAGTGGGAAATCATTGTGTATTCCCTTGAATATCTCCATCGTGCTACATGGAAAGCAGCCAAATGTTTCTCAAGTGTAATAGTATTAGGCCAGCTAAAAAAATAAAAAAAGAAAGTTGAATGGAAGGAAAAAACTCTTATCTATAAAATCCCATCAGGATTTTATGGGAAAAGAGGTCAAAAAGCATATTTTCCCTGTAAGCAGTGGAACAGAAACTTAGACCTTTTTTCTTCCCCAAGGAGAGAGAGCTCAGACTTCCCTGTCTTCCTATTATTTAATTTGGAGAAGCTGAGAAGTGATAGCCATGGGAATGAAGTCTGGAAATCAGCCTTGTAAGAGGGATACTTAGCAAAGAAAATGTTGAGTACTGTAGGGTATACTGTCAAAAAAAAAAAAAAAATTGAGCTTTTTGGTTGTTTACCAAGAGACTCAACAACTGTTTTCAACCCCAAAGTGTTCACTGTGAGCACATGTGTAAAACAGCATGAGATCTATTTTTTCCCCTTCAGGCCACTCTTCCATACTGATACAGTGTCAAGAAGTTTAATTAAATGTCAAGCGTGCAACATTTGTGCTTCAAGGAGGGGAGAGAGAAAGCACTGGCTGGCACTGAATTTCAAGAGCACATCACCACCATCATTCCCATTGTCCAACTTGCCTGCGAAAGGCTGTCAACTTACCTTTCCTTTGCTGATTATAAAGAAAGTGTCCCCTCGAGCACCTTGTCGTATAATATACTCTCCACTTTCATAATGCGTCTGTAAAAAAAGAATAAAATTAAGATGAAGAAACAGAATCAGAGACTGTTATTCAGCAGATAGTTTGGCAGTTTGGCAAGATAATGCTTATGGAAACATAACCCTGGACCAATTTTATCCCAGCCTGACATTGGCCATGATTTAAAAATTGTCCTGTGTCAAGGAATATAATAATCAAAATGGAACCATTTATGGCTTGCCCATTTTTCTTCTTACTGTGCTAGTGCCAGCTTTTGCCCAGATGAATTATCCTCACAGCCTAAATCCATTTATACTAAGTAAACCAGACAGAGGAATTTTCAACAGAGAATACAGTACATGAACTAAACTGCAATAATACGTCTGTTGTAAAAATAGTTCTTTTCCATTTTTTTGTTGGTTTTGGTATTTTCCCAGCTTTACTAGCAAGGGAATTATTCAACAAATAATTTTTGCTCTTCTCCTGTTATTATAGTAGTTTAATCCGTCTTTTTTGCCTTGTTTAGTGGAATATTCCTTGCTAAATTTATGTCACAGCTTATCAACACTTGCATCTAAACTTAATAGGATAGCCTCATCCCTTGCATTACCCCATCAAAACCAATATGCATTTACACATCACCAAAAAAATAAAAGCTGGGATGTTCTAAATAAAGACTCTACATTCCTATTTAGCCCCCTCAAACCCTGGCATTTTCTTCAGAGATGCTCTACCCCCTGCAAATTCAACAAACATCAGTTCAATAGCAAGCAGAGGCAGGGGAATGCTAAGAGCTTCCCACCCAACATCTTTACCTCCATCTCCTACTGGACAAATTACAGCTGTTTTTTTTTTATCAAGCCCCCATAGAGAGCTGCAGGAGTCAGGTCTGCTGTGCCCCAGCACTGATTTGTGACAAAACCTCCCCAAAAATGCCCCTGCGCTCTGGCTTGGGTGTTGTTTGAAGCTACACTAAAGCACAAAGCCCCAGAAAAAGCTGCCAGATCTTTTAATCCCAAAGTATGTATAAACAACAGCAAGGATGGATTTGAGCTAAGACAGAGGAATTAATCAGAATCCTGGAATTTGGATAAACTTGAGATGTTTTCTTTCAAGGGTATTTTATTGACCTGCATTTATTTAGTTATCTTTACACTCAACCTTTTTGGTGCCACTTACAGACTGCTAACAGACTTCAACATGAAAATAAATAGGTAAAGGCTCATGTAAATGCATCTGTTACATCTGAGAAAAACAACTCCTTGCTTTGGGAGCACTCAACATATGGGGCTATTAAAGAAAAGCAATTGTCCTAGGAAAACAAGAAAGATATCTAAGTGAACTATCATATGGAATTAATTAGGTTAGTTCTTTAAAATATAGTTAGGCTGCGGGTACTTACACCATCCTAAAAAAAATTCTGGGTAAATAAAATCAGAATGTCAAAGCAGTATGTAATAATTAATACTCTTCAGACTCTTCAGAAGACTAATAAATTAAAAACTAAAGTTCTGTATCAGAAACACAAATACCGAATATTATCATGTCAGTCTTCAGAAAAGGGACCAGAGAAGGTGGGTCAGGAAGACTGAACTTGTGGGTTGCCCTGATCCTGCATGGGCTCTGACAGATGTAAAAACCGCAGCATTTTTCCTATTTCCATGTGCCAGAGTGGGAAGAGGAAGAAAAGCCTGCAGGAGACCATGGACACAAACTTGCAGAGTTTTACTTCTTACGTGGGGTGTTTCTGGACAGCAGGTTTTGAGGATGCCTGTTTTTGACCATCCAGGTTGAGACTCCTTGAAAGGGCTCAATTTTATAAGGTGTTGGGTTCAAACCCTCTCAAGTGGAATCCTGTAGGCACCCAAAAATCTAACGATTGAAAATACCGGTCAAAAAAGTTTCCAATTTTACGGGCAACCTATATTCACTAGACATATTAAACTGCTACTGCTTATATGACTTTTGTGCAATTTTCAGCTGATACTGCCTTATAGCTGACTCTCAACTTCTGGCCAAATAACACATTCAACATGAGAAAACCTTCTTCCTAAAAGGCCTTTTCTTGGTCTTACTCACCAGTTACAACTGCACCAATCGCTTAGCACTGAGACTCACAGTTCTGCCATACCTGATTCCCACCCATGACTCCCCCGAACCTTCCCACCCAGGCTTCCACACATGGAATGGAAGGAGAACAAATTCAAGCTTTGAAGGATCTGAAGCTGCCTCTTACTTTAGCATCTCTTGCCTACTGTCTTTTTTTTTCTCCTGGGCTCTAATCTCATTCAAAACACTGCAAGTCCTTCTTCCAACATTCAAATCATATTCCTCTAGTCCTTCCTTGAGTGCCCAAACGTGCAGAGCTTTCATTTTGCTTGACCTCCTCCTCATCAGCACCTCTCTCCATGTCCTTCCTGCAGTCCACATCTTCATCTTTATGTATTTCAGCCCATTTCTTTCACAGCTAATTCCACCTGGCCTTACTGAAATTATTCTTGCTTGAAATAACCTGTCTTTCCCCATCCTCTAACAACGCTCTTCTTCTTAAATCCTCCTTTTCTAACACAAATCAACTCATTCATGTGCTTCGCCCTTCTAACCGAATTATCTCTGCCCATTTAGACTGAAAACACTGTGCAAAGCAGGCAGAGTGTGTAAGTGCTCACTTAACGACACATGAAAATAAAAATAATTACAAGCCTCTTGCTTTTTGCTGGCCATGTATAAGGTAGCAATATGTTCTCAGGTACATATGGTACCATTATACAAAGCTATCTGAAGAAGCACTTTGGCAAATGTTGCACATATTCATGGTATAGCAACACAAGCTCCATTTCATCTAGAGAAAACCAGTCCAAGAACAATATGAGGAAAATCAACAATTCCTACAGCTTTGCAATGGTGTGGTGGCACAGGCAAAGGAATACTATTTGAATTAAAATCACAAAAAAGAAAAGCAGTAAAGCAAGCGGGTTCAATGTATCTTCACTAGCTTTAGACTGACCCCACTGCTTCTTCTGGACTTGCATTTGCAAGATTAAATTCAATGGCTGAGCTCCAGCCAGCTGTTGGAAGCCAGACTCTGTTGAAGAGGATCCTTCTGATGGAGAGAACAACAATTTGTTGGCACCTTTTTAAATTCTAGCTTCAAAGCCCTGTATATACTGGTCAAAGAATTTCCAGAATACCTTTAAAATAGCTAATAAATATTTCTATCCCACCTTTGCAGTCGTAAATGAATAAAAAGATTATGCAACTAGTATAACACCCCAGATTTGGGCATAGAACTTGAATCTTTTTGGTTTTAGATTTTTCTCCCAAGAGAAAGGGACTCTAGACACAATACTGTATTTTCAGAGGCAATACCAAAGTTCAGTGATGAAAGCTAATTTAATATCTCAGATAGATTTCACTGAAACCTAAGCAACACATAGGTTTTTGAGCATACTTAAGACATAGATCCTTCAGGCCACAACAAAATTAAAGCAAAACACAAATTAATTCCTAGCTGGAAGAGCTGGCCAGACTATATTAAATTTTCTTACATTTCCTTCTCTCCAGCAGAAAACCTAAGCTGAAATCCAGTGTAAAAATGGAAGTGAGAAAACCCGAATAGAAACGCAGGCTGCAGAAATACAGCTGTACAACCTGCCAAGGACAAGATAACCAGGCAGAAAAGTTAATAGTTACAAAGGTTTTTGTGTGCGGGGGTGGGGGGTTGATGGTGGTGTTGGGGAAGACTATAAGCTAAGGCATCGAGGTCCCAGTTTGGCATCAAAGTCTGAGAAAGTCAGTGTAAAGAAAACAGTGATGATAAAGCCAAGAAATTACTGCTGGGAACACTCACATACCAGCAAGCCACAAATGTATATTTTATAAGCTTTGGCAAATAGGGATAAAGGCTCAGCTTCCATGAATTATAAATGCTACAAAATTTAGAGCATTTGTCATGCTAACTAGACTGTTGTTTTATAAAGTAATGCTGGGCCCTTAAGGTACTTCTCTACAGAGTAAGAGCTGCTTTATCACCTCTTGAATAAACGCCCAGACCCTTAGTACCCCATTTTCCTATATAATAAAAATTTTTCCCAGTATAAACCAGTAAGGGATTGCATCCTTAGCAATTCAGAGATGTCCATGGGGATGCAGAGTTCAAGCCAAGCTTGTGACCCAAACGCTCATGTGTTTATCAGAGGATAGTTAAGTGGTCCAATAAGAGGTTTCTTCCCAAGAAAATAGGTGATAAAATAAAATTAAGTGATAAAAAAAGTGTCTTGGTTTTTCTGCTTTTTTTGGCACATGCAACACATGTGAAATTAAAGATTGAAGGTTTCCTTAAAAAGAAAGTTTTAATTCTTCCATTAATATTCATGGCTTTGATTTCAGTATCTGTCCTATACATGGTTTAACTCCTATAAGCATTTAAATACTTGTAAAATAAAGGTTTCAGGTCTTTCCAGTGGAGCTCAACTCTGAACTCAAAGCCACGGCATTATATTTACAGAAAGAATGTATCAGGCAGGAAAAAGAAAACAAAAAAGACAAAGCTCTAATTAGCTGTCTCAGGGAAAGAAGAACAAGTCCTTAATCAAAATGTTTTAATAGGAAACACTCTTGAAATATGTACAAGCAAGAGAAAGTCACGTATGTATTACATCAACTCAAATTTCCCTTAAATTTACTTCATCAACACCAAGGCAAGCCCAACAGGAGAGCGGAAGATAAAAAAATGAAATTAGACCACCAGCCCAATTAGTATTTCAAAGTCCCTGGAGCGTTTCTCAACTGCCATAAGCCAGCACAGCATCAGTGGAGCATTTCCAGCACCTCAGACCAGCCCATCCTCTGACCCCTCAACCTTTATTTCTCTATATCTCCTTTTTTTTCCCCTTGCAAATTCTGCATAATGCCAATTTGTTAACCCTCAGATCCTTGCCTCAGACAACTGCCAACTTCCAGTCTCTTGTACAGTGTTAAATAAGAGTTTTCAGTATCAGAAGCACCCTTATTTTTAACAATACCTGGGATTTTTTTCAAA